AAAAAAAAAAAAAAAAAAAGTATCAACCTAAGAAGGGAAACGTAAACAGTGTGAACACTCCATTCACTGCCCGCAAGACTATCTGCTTGCCAAACGAACACATGAGCCAGAAGGACAAGTCACTATTTGGAAGGGGCCAATGTCAGTGATAAATCACCTCAAATAACTGGCATTGTAAGCACTTTGCTATTTGGAGATCTATCAAGGATAAATGGGTATGTATCAAAGATTAGCGCCTAACCTAGAATAACTCCTTCACCAAGAAAAAATATTTATGGAACATATATGATGTGTGCAAGGATCCTCCTGCCCACTGAGGGTCATTTTCCATTTGTAGGGATACAAAAAGGAGGAAACAAAAACCTTTCAACAACAAGCAGCACTCAAAAGTTCCTGGTGACTAAACACAGTTTTAAGGCTCACATGTACAACAGAACACTCCCTACTAAATCCCCGTTTCTACCTCATATACTTAGCTTTTCCTTCACTTCCAGCCTTATGCTTTCTTATTCATTGTTCTAAGGCTTTCCCATTCTGTAATTTGATGTTATTTACTTGGTTTATTTACCTTCCATGCTTTATTTCCAAAGTTCAGAGTTGCTTACCCCGACTTTTTCCAGCTGAAGGGGTTTACCAAATCTAAGAGGAAAAACTGCCTACCCATAGGATGGACTTAGTCCACTGCTTTCATACCCATTCTGATAATGAAGCATATCAAAAAAAAATAGGTGTTAACTCATCTAATTGCCTGGTTCAATGTCATCCTATTGTTATCTAATGAGCCCAACTTCCTCGCCTAGAAGTACACAACATCCTTATTCCAATAAAGAAACAGGAAGGCCAGGCCCAGTGGTTCAGCTCTGTAATCCGAGCATTTAGGGAGGCCGAGGCAGGTGGATCACCTGATGTCAGGAGTTTGAGGCTAGCCTGGCCAACATGGCAAATGTTTGTCTCAACTAAAAATACACAAAATTGACAGGGCATGGTGGCGCACACCTGTAATCCAAGCTACTCAGGAGGCTGAGGAAGGAGAATCGCTTGAACCAGGGAGGCAGAGGTTGCAGTGAGCCCAGATCGCGCCACTGCACTCCAGACCGTGTGATGGGAGCAAGACTCCACCTCCAAATTAAAAAACAAAAACAAAAACAGGAAGAATGCATTTTAGGGAAAGATGGACATTGGCAGAGGAAAAATGGAGCAGTCTTCAGCTCTACTTACAATGTGCATAAGGCAACTAAAGATAAACCTGGGAAAAACTGGTTTTAAAGACTTGAAGGAGGAAACAGAGAAGTAATGAACATTGTCATATCTCTTGTTTTTGTTTGTTTGTTTGTTTGTTTGAGATGGAGTCTCACTCTGTCGCCAAGGCTGGAGTGCAGTGGCACGATCTCAGCTCACTGCAACCTCCGCCTCCTGGGTTCAAGCAATTCTCTGCCTCAGCCTCCTGAGTAGCTGGGATTACAGGCACTCACCAACATGCCTGGTTAATTTTTGTATTTTTAGTAGAGATGGAGTTTCACCATCTTGGCCAGGCTAGTCTTAAATTCCTGACCTCGTGATCCACCTGCCTCGGCCTCCCAAAGTGCTGGGATTACAGGCGAGAGCCACCATGCCTGGCATATCTCTTGATTTTAAAGAAACAGTGTGCATGAGTCAGCTAATATGGATGTGCTGTCATAATTTCCGACCTCACCCTCGTTCCCTGAGAAAATGACAGACACCAAGACACCAGGGGATAAGAAATGGAAAAATGGAACAGAGGGCAGAAAGCTGAGTAGGAAGGAGAAGAATGAAGAAATTGAAGTAAATATAATGCACAGGAAGAAAAATCGAGAGACAAAAGTGAATGTATATCTTTGCTCTGGTTGGTCAAGCTATCTTCCTAAATCACCTGCTGCTCCTAACGAACTGCAACAACAGCACCACTGAGCCTGAAACACCGCTGATACAGAATCTGAAGCTTTTATACTCCATACCAAACAAATGTGGCAGAGTACAAAGGGAAACAGCAGCTAAGCAGCCAGGTTAGAGAAATCCAATTTGATGTGTAAGTGAAAAAAGAACTGGCAGGGTCTGGAAAAATCTAGCTCTTTTTAGCAAGAAATGGAAATCTGAGGAGGAGGCATCATAAAAGACTAAGGATTCACCTCCCTTCTCCCTCTTCAATATCATACTATCGACCTTTTTTGTAAGTGGTAGAAATTCTACAAGCTCCTTTCCCTTCATCAGTTTCATGTACTCCCAAGAATATATAGAATCCATCATGCTTATTCCTATCTTTCTATCTAATCTGCTTCATGTTAAGCAAAGAACTGAAAACTATCTTTCAGATACTTCCCTGGTACTCTTGACAAATCTGTAGTTAATGTGATACTAAGATACAGAAACATCAGTCACAAGTACTAATCTTACAACTGTATCTTTCTGTGGCAGACTCTTTTTTTTTCCTGTAGGTCAATTATCATTTTACATCCTATTGCTTATAAATTCAAAGGATCAGAGCATTAGTGCCTCCCTTTCTTCCTTTCAAGATTTTTAGGAAATGACTGTGCATTATCTAATGGAAAAGTTGTAACAATCTCCCCCTTCCCAAGTAGATTTATTTGCCCTAAATTCTAGCAAATATCTGGAAACAGAAACCTTGAAGACGTTTCTCATTAAAGAGGCCAGTTCAGCCCAGAAAGAACTGGCTCAGAGGAAGGAGCATATTCCTTTTTATCTACAAAGAGTCAATCAAATGTTCAGTGATAACCATGCTCACCAGCATATCTTACACAGAGTTAAGAAAGGAATTATCTGTACCTTAACACAGAAGGCTACATTCAGCAATGATTACACTAACTAATCCCATGGATGGCATGTGCTCTATTGAGCTAGTTGTGCTCCATTTCTGGCTTGGAAAAGTAACAGTGTGTTTAAAATGTTCTTTAAACTATGTATTAAGTAACAGTGTTAAAAAGAGTTGAAGCTGGGCCTGGTGGTGGGAACTTCTAGTCTAGCTAGCTACTGTAGCTACTCAGAAGGCTGAGGTAGGAGCATCCTTTGAGTCCAGGAGTTTGTGGCTGCAGTCAGCTACAATCGTCCCACTGTGCTCCAGCCTCGGCAACGGGGGGAGGCCATGTCTCTTACAATGGAAAAAAGATTTTAGTAGTCTTTACTACTAAAATACATGCTAGCTACAGGCAACAGGAAAAAAAACTCTTCCCTTTAAATAAATTCAGATTATCTTTTTCTTTTAAAAAATCTAGCCAGGTGCAATGGCACATGCCTGTAGTCCCAGCTACTCGGGAGGCTAAGGCTGGAGGATTACTTGAGTCCAGGAGTTCTGGGCTGTAGTGCTCTATGCAGATCTTTTCCACACTAAGTTCAGCATCAATATGGTGACCTCCCGGGAGCAGAGGACCACCAGGTTGCCTAAGGAGGGGTGAACCAGCCCAGGTCAGAAACAGAAAAGGTCAAAACTCCCGAGCTGATCAGTAGTGGGATCGCGCCTGGGAATAGCCACTGCACTCCAGCCTGGCAACAAAGCAAGACCCCGTCTCTTAGAAAGTAAAAAATAAAAATAAATATATTTAAAATAAATAAAAGTTTTAAAATAATAAATTTTAAAAATAAATAAATAATCCAAAGACTTTTTAGAGTATGCTTTCCAACTCATCTGTGTTGATCTATTCCTCCTCTGTTTCAGTTTGGCTTCAAAGTCAAACTGAAGAAACAGGGGGTTAGGCCTTGGAATGTATAATCTACCTTTTCTTCAAAAGGTTAATTTCAAGTATAAAAGAAGATTTAGAATGGTGGTGTACTGAGGAGTCTCTTGAGCACATGTCATCATTCTCAACAGTTAAGAGAGAAATGCAATAGATAAGTAGGCTACAAGGTAGAGAGTAAAAGCTGGCACGATGGAGCCAGGATATCAAAAAGGAAGAAAAGAGTAGTAGACTGCAACAGAAAAACAGATGGTCCTCGGAGACAGGGAAAGACAAATAAATAAAACCTTTGGGCCGGGCGCGGTGGCTCATGCCTATAATCCCAGCACTTTGGAAGGCTGAGGCGGGCAGGTCACCTGAGGTCAGGAGTTCAAGACCAGACTGGCCAACATAGTGAAACCTCATCTCTACTAAAAATACAAAAATTAGCTGGGTATGGTGGCGCACGTCTGTAATCCCAGCTACTCTGGAGGCTGAGGCACAAGAATCACTTGAACCCGGGAGGCATAGGTTGCAGTGAGCTGAAATTGTGCCACTGTACTCCAGCCTGGGCAACAGAGCAAGACTGTCTCCAAATCAATCAATCAATCAATCAATCAATCAATAAAGCTTTGAAAAATAGAATACTGATAGCAGCGTATAATGTGTGTGCTCCAAGCTAGGGGTTGGCAAACCTGCAAGCCAAATCACCTGTTTTTGTATGGCTAAGAGTGATTGGAAAAAAAAAAAAAATCAAAAGAATATTTTGTGACATGTAGATATCACAAGAAATTCAAATTTCAGTACCCACAGATACAATTTTGAACACAGCCATGCCCATTCATTTATGTATGGTGTGTGACTGCTCACACAATGATGGCAGAGTTGAGCAGTCGACAGAAACCACATGACCCACAATTATTTACTATCTGGCCATTTACAGGACATCTGCCAACCCCTACTTTATTACAAACCAAACACTTGTACATTTAGCTGTTCTCACTGTGAAGAACTTGTAAGCCAGGTATTTCTTCTGGAAATTTTTCTTTAGATCATACTCCTCTCACACAGCCTGCAGAGGACACATAGGCTTTCAAAGTTAACTGAGCCCCAAAAACCAGAAGACTTAAAAGATCTTGCCTTCCAATAAAAAAGTACATGTTACCAAAGACCCATCAGCTTGGACTTCTTTTCTAAACTATAAAGAGAGGTCTTATTAATGTCTACAAATGCAACTCTTGATTACCTGCACAAAGAGAGGGTATGGCAGAGACCACTACTACATACATGGCAAAATTCAAACCTAGTGATGGATTTGGTTGGAGGGTGTTGCTTAAGTATTACAGCTTTAGGCATGGCCCCCAAATACAGGATTTTTAGAAGGGTATCAACAAATTATTAATACTTTATAACCCATCCAGCTTATATCCAGAAAAACATAAATGCAAATGCCCTAAAAAGACTGGAACGTTACTGATTGCATGTTAATATGAGTATGATTCACGAACAATACTGCCAATCCAAATCTTTAAAACAAAAAGCAGCTACATAATTTGAAAGTAGTATCTTTGAAACCTCTTTACATCTTCAGGACATTCCTGGCCTAGTGATTAGATAGGAAAATCCGTCTGTAAAGCTGACTGTGAAGTTACCAAACCCAACCATTATTTTATTCTAATTTGTTAAAAACTTTGCATTCAAAGGATCACAAGCCTAACAAGAAAAAGCATAAAAATAAACACTTTGTCAAACCATGGGCCTCCTTTGAGTAACAAATAACAATTTCTAAACTCTGGATAACATCTAGATATACCCTTGTCATCAAGAAGCTACGACTCAGTTAGCAATTGCAGCGAGTTGCTGAAATGCGGTATGGCTAGAAAAATGAAACTGAGCCTGGCTTTAAAAGCAAAAGTCTACTACCATTAAACTAATGAAAGACTGCTCTAAGCGCGGTATGTCAGGAAAAGGAAGGCACTCTGAGATCACCATCTTTGTACCTACACAACTCTCACTAGCTAAGAACCACTGTGCAAAAGGACAAAAACACACAAAAGGAAACCAACAGATAGTACCGTTTGTAGAAGAATGAGTGATGTATTTTAATGCGAGAAGGATGCGAGGCAGAGAGAGAAACACACACAAACACCCCACATCCTCTGGGAAAATGATCTCTCAGACTCACACACTGAAATGTTTTTAATCAAAGACCGATACAGTAGGAAGGCACAAGGAGTGCAACGTAAAAAGAGATCATCCATGGTAGCTGGTGGCTTCAGTCACAGAAAAAGCATGTGCCCCCAGTGAACACAGCACCGCGGAAAGACCGCTATTAAATTATACCAAAGGGCTCCGCTGCGGCCCAGGGTAGAGGGATGAGTGCGGGTGAGAAATGCAAACTCATCCGTGACTTGACCTAAGGGACAGCCCCATGAACATTCCCTTAAGGGGGCGAATGCACCTCAAAGTCACTCTCAAACGTGTCCGGCCACGCCCTCCCGCAAGGGAGGCCGCAAAAGTTTTGCTCGAGAGGGGAAACTGAGGTAGGGGTGATTTATATGGGTTGGCGGAAGGAACCCCGGGCAAGCCCTAGTGTCCCGGGGCCCAGGAACCCCGAAGCCCTGGCTGGGGCGGGGATCCCCAAGCGGCAGGAGGCAGCCCAGGAAGCGGGTCCGGACGATCCGGCTCGAAATCCCCTCCCCCCCACAGCGTCGCCCCGCCGGAGCCGCCGCCCGGTACCTCTCGATGACTGAGGCCACCAGCTGTGGCAACTCCTTCATCTCGAAGGCGGAGTAGGATGCGGACAGCAGGGGCCGCACCGCCACCTCCCAGCCCGGGGTCGTGTCCGCCCCAGTGGCCGAGGCCCCGGGCGCCGGCGCCGCTGCCGCCGCCTCTTCGCCGCCGCTCGTCGCCATCTTCCGTCGTACTACTGCGGCTCCCTTCGGGGGCTTGCCACCGGCCCAGCGCCGCCTCCCGGGAGGGGGCGGAAGTGACGCAATCTGTCGCGTCAGACTGCGCGCCGCTGTCGTGGGTCAAAAATGCGACGCGCAGAGCGCCCTCTGCTCTCACCGGGGTCGAGTTGCGCGGTGAGGGAACGCGTTGGAGACGCTGCGCCTGCTCAGAAGGTAGCGCAGCGCGGGGAAGGCGGGAGAGCGTTAACTTTTGCGCCTGCGCGGTGGGAGTTACTCTAGCAGGTGAGAGCGACCTGGCTTCCTGACGGCGGGGAAAGGTGAGTTTGGGGCTTAGGTGCAGTGGGCAAGTCTAGGGCAGCAGAGCAGACTACGCCGGGGCGAATAGAATGGCCCTGGCCTGGAACAGCTAAGGACGAGAAGAGACCGAAGCCTAAACGCTCTTCACCCGCTTCTTCCCCTGCCTAGATGCCCCCCGGTAGTAATACTAAAGCGCCCCAGATCTTACAAAGCTTTCTCTCTCTCACACCACCTCTTTTAATCACTGATCTACATTCTCTTCGCGCTCAAATGTCTTCTGTGTTTAGATTGCCCTCATTAACAATCTTACCAGCTCGTGCAATGCATCCCTCTGCAAATTTGCCACGTATGGTTATGTTTTCCCCGTTTTTCTACTGGCAAGGAAAGAATGTAAGCTTTTATTCGCAGGAGATGTCTGAGACTTTTGCCGGTAAAATGATCTGGCCACAAGGATTTAAGAGGGAAACGCAGTTTGCTCGAGGAAAGATATTCGTGCATTAAGGACAGTCCTGCGTGTAAGATGCTGGTGGACGGCTTCAAGCTCTAGGCCTGTGGCCTACAGCCGGCCTAAATAAGACTTCGCAGGAACTGTGAAGACGTTTTCAAATTCCTAAAGCCCTGAAATTCTCCCCCTTGTTTAGGAAGAGCTTTTGTTCTCAGTGTATAACACTGATAAATGAATTGGTACCTAGTGATTAGTCTGCACTTTTATTTAGATGTGACATACTTTACCTTTTTTGAGACAGGATCTTGCTCTGTCACCCCAACAGCCCAGGCTGGAGTGCAGTGGCACAGTTGCGGTTCGCTCCGGCCTCCACCTCCCTGACTCAAGCGATCTTCCAGCCTCAGCCTCCCCAGTAGCTGAGACTATACAGGCCACCACTCTTAATTTTTTTTTTAAGAGACAGGTGTCCCTATGTAGCCCAAGCTGGTTTTGAAGTCCTAGGCTCAAGTGATCCAAGGTGGGAGCACCTTGGCCTCCCAGAGTGCTAAGATTACAGGCTTGACCCACTGCACCCAGCATGCATTTTTACATTCCAAATGAAATTCAGTCAAAGCCAGTCTTGGAGGAAAATGTGGCTTCGATGATAGCAGTAGAGATTTTCCTTCAATGTCTACTTATCAGAGGATAATAATAACAGCAAGTTTCTTAAACATAAAAACATCAGAAATGAAAAAGAACTTTCCATAACACTGTAAATATTGCACTGTTTCAAGATACTGAACCAGAGCCCTAAGTAAAGGCTGGAGACCCAGAATTTTTTTTTTTTTTTTTTTTTTTTGGAGATGGAGTTAGCCCTGTCACCAGCCTGGAGTGTAGTGGCACGATCTCTGCCCACTGCAACCGCCGCCTCCCAGGTTCAAGCACTTCTCCTGCCTCAGCCTTCCAAGTAGCTGGGACTACAGGTGTGTGCCACCACATCCAACTAATTTTTGTATTTTTAGTAGAAATAGGTTTTCACCATGTTGGCCAGACTAGTCTGGAACTCCTGGCCTCGTGATCCACCTGCCTCTGCCTCCCAAAGTGCTGGGATTACAGGCGTGAGCCACCGGGCTGGGCTAGACCCAGAATTTTATAGTGGCTCTGGGACATTAATTTTATTTTAACCAAATGACAAAATTAATCTGCAGAGACTCTCTTGGAGAAATTTCAGGAAATAAAAGATCAAATGTCTCTGCTCTCCTCCCTCTCCAAGAGAATAAAAGGCAAACGCAAACTATCACAGGGAGATTTGCACCTGTACCTAAATTAATGTTTATTATCTACTTTATGATATTTCTGGTTAATAGATTGGGAGAGAACACTCCAGATAAAGAACTTCCTTTATAAATGCCATGTTTATTTCAGTACTGGAGGTTTGGTCTTGTGTTGCCCAAAGTTTGGAATGGCATCTATATTATAAATTTAGATGACAAAAGAAACAGACTAATAAAAGACTTCTAGATGAAACACAAGCTTCTAATATGCTGGTCCAGAAAATAAGATAGAAACTAAAGAATAGTAAATAACTTTTATGAATTAACTGAAGGACTTAAAATACTAGTTCCATTCTAATCCCAAGTGCCTGCCAAGGAACTAAAATTTAAAATGATAAGATATGATACATCATGTTACAGGGAATGCAATGAAGGAAAAATGGCGGACATTGATGAGTGGTATAGTATAAAGATTTGTGTAGAGGAAGGGATGAGGAGGCCTGCTGAGAGCTGGAAAAGTTCTGTATCTTGACACAGTGGTGCTTGCATAGATATACACACACAGAATCACTGAGCCATGATTTGTACTTCTGATTTGTACACTTTGGTGGTTGTAAATTGTACATCAGACAATCTGAAATGAGGTCAGTGTCCCTCACTACAGGAGCTTCAAAAGTGAGAGAGCATGTCACTGCTTTGTAGCATTTCAGTTGACCAACTTCTTGAAATACGTAATGACTACTTCTAACCACCTCATTCCTGAGTTCCTTTTTTCCTTTTCTTTTTTTTAAGCCATCCCTTAGAGAGTTGCTTGAAATAAATCCTAATAGATACAATGTTTTTAGAAACAAGTAAATGAATAAACCTTAGCTATTACCCGCTAGGAGCCAACAGCTTTTACAAAGTTACAAGAACAAGTAATAAGTGCATATTTTGTTGAAACTCCTGCAGTACTGAAAACTGCAAATGGAGAGCAGCTCCTTTTTGGTAGTTCACAGCAGAGTTAGTTTTCAAATTACCAAGAATAAAAGGAATTAGATTAGAAGCCTAATTCAATTTAGAATTATGAGACAGTATTTGTAATCCATAAGTATTATTTTTCCCACGATATTGAACTATTCGCATGGTATGAACTCAAAAAGAAGAAGGAAATGCGAATTGCAGCCTTCTTGCTTTAAGAGCGAAAACAAAACAATTTTGGTAACTATGGAGGGACTAGAATAGAATGTCACTTTAAGATTTACATTCTCAAAAGTTTTGACCGATCAGATTGAGAGAGACAGACAAAGAAGGATAAATCAAATGTCATCGTAAAATGTTAACCTTTGGGGAATCTGGGTGGAGAGTATCTCGGAATTCATTGTGCTATTGCAACTTTTCTGTAAGTCTGAAATTGTGTCATCAAAAGTCAAAATAAAAAGTTTATAAACACCTTTTTTTAAGATCCATTTGCTTTACAATTAGGAAAGCATAATTAAAGGATGACAGAGAAAGCCTACTGTATACCAGATGCTTAAGAGAAGGAAAGTAATTTACATGTAAACTCTGGGAAAAGTGGAGCCACGTGATCCTTTAGCACTGTTTGGGGTGGGGACATGGTGGGGGGCAGTGCACAGAGAGGGCCTGTTCTGGTCTCCTCAGAAGATATATCCGTATAGTAAAAACCATGAGTAAGATGTCACGTCTCCTAACTCCATAACAACCAAGCAAACTTATAATAGTGTTTTAACTTATATCACCTTTTGTATAGGAGAGGATATATATTCAGCAGCGTAAGTATTCTAGCCCTTTTTGCAATTGCAGTCTTCATTCATTATCAATAAACTGGCCTCTGGTTGATCGGTCTAGTCTAGTTCTTACTTTATCACAGCAATGGGATATATGATACCATCAAAACCATGATGTGAACAAACCATGAGTATAATGGAGTTTGTACTTGTGCCATTTAAATATAGTTTTAGTTTGCTTTCTGGACTTGCATCCATTCAGATTGCACGTTAGGGGACAGAAAAGAGTGTGCTTCAATATAAACCTGTATCTGTTTTACAAACACACCTTCCTAAATGTTCTTAGTCTCTATCCTGGAAAAGGCACCCTCTCAGTATCACAGATCAGAAATATATAAAAGCCTTATTGCTGGTGGAAAACAGTCTGCTTCGTTGGATGTCAATCTCAACTAACTTCACATTCTGATTCTTAAAAATATCGGAAGGTACACATCCTTTATGTTCTAAATTTCTTACTGGAAAGATGGCCTAAATATTAGACTTTCCCAAAAGAGTATTTGGTCTCATAAAAATCTCTAATGGAACAGCACTTAAGAATTTCAACCCTGTGACCACTAAAAATGGTCTAGAGCCCTACCTCTGACACAGGAGCTCTCCATGATTCAGTGATAAAATCAAGTTGTAAGATATTATATTACCTGGAGAGATACCAAATTGTTCAGTGGTGACCTCTGGGAAACAGATGGTGGGGGAGGTTTGGAAGGGGACACTCACCTTCATTTGAGACCATTGTGAAAAATTTTTTTTAACTTGCATAGTCTTTAAAATAAAGAATTTAGCCACAAAAATCAAAACAGCTGATTCATATAAAGCACCCGTATCTCCATTATTGAAAGGTAGCTTCAAGAATGGTGAATACGTTCAGGTTACATTTTACAAAAAAATGAAAAGGCAGAAGATGTTGTCTACCTGTTTTAATTATGGAAGGATAATTGTCAATTTTTAAATAGTAAGATAGTTATAAAGAACAATGATTTCCAAAGCAATACTAAAGAGATCCTTTTCCCTTTTAGAATAGAAATTATGGCACCATGCAGCTTATTTCCCCATATTGATCATGTAGGCATTTGTTTTAAGGACTAAAATAGGGTTTGTCAGACCTAGTGTCCAGGGCATGCCAGAGAGGCAGATTGAATTATCTCTTGCCATTTAATATACAAAAATTAGAAGGATGTGGTAGCACATGCCTGTAATCCTACCTACTCGGGAGGCTTGAGGCAGGAGAATCGCTTGGACCCGGGAGGCAGAATTTGTGGTGAGCCAAGACTGCGCCACTGCACTCCAGCCTGGGCAACAGAGTGAGACTCCGTTTCAAAGGAAAAAAGAATTATTGGGGCCAGGTGTGGTGGCTCACACCTATAATCCTAGCACTTTGGGAGGCCAAGACAGGTGATCACCTGAAGTCAGTTCGAGACCAGCCTGGCTAACATGGTGAAACCCTGTATTTACTAAAAATACTAAAATTAGCTGGGTATTGTGGCACACACCCATAGTCCCAGCTACTCGGGAGGCTGAGGCAGAAAGATTTGTTGAACCTGGAGGCAGAAGTTGCAGTGAGTCGAGTGAGACTCTGCACTCTGTGGCAAGGAAGGAAGGGAGAGAAGGAAGAGAAAGGAAGGAGGAAGGGAAGAATTCCTTACTAAGTCACCAAAGTCTTAGAAATTTAGGAAACTGGGGACAAAGTTCCTAAGGCTTCTGTGAAGAAGGTGCAACCATTTGGGGAACTATTTGTCAAGGAGCAACTTCATGTCTGGGACAATAGGGAATTCAGAAAACAGTATAACAGTTCCTGAGAGACACAGTATCTGGAATCATAAAGTGGTACCGTATATTATTCAGGAAGCTATGTGGTGAGCAGCTAGGACGCTTGGAGGGCATGATGAGCCGAAATCAATAGGGAAAGCTTTTTGGAGGAGTTCAGATTTGAGACAAGCCAGATTTTGAGCAGGGAAGAAAACATTTCTAGTAAAACAATAGCTTCATGATTTACAAGCAAAATTTTATTTATTTTTATTTTTTGAGACAGGGTCGCACTCTGTAGCAGCTCACTGAAACCTCTGTCTCCTGGGTTCAAGTGATTCTCCTGCCTCACCCTCCCAAGTAGCTGGGATTACAGGCATGCACCACCACACCTGACTAATTTTTTTTTTTTTTTTTTTTTTTTAGGAGCGATAGAATTTCACCATGTTGGCCAGGCTGGTCTCGAACTTCTAACCTCAAGTGATCTTCCCACTTCAGGCCTCCCAAAATGCTGAGATTGCAGGTGTGAGCCCCTATGCCTGGCCTAAAAGCAAAATTTTAAATAATTAGGAATCAGTAAATGAGTCTTGGGATGATTCTGATGATGCTTAATAGGCTTTTTAAAAGGATAGCAATATATGGGCCAGGTACAGTAGCTCATGTCTGTAATCCCAGCACTTCAGGAGGCTGAGGAGGGAGGATCACTTGAGCCCAGGTGTTTGAGGCTGCAATGAGCTATGACTGTGCCACTGCTCTCCAGCCTGGGTAACAGAGACGCTGTCTACAATTTAAAAAAAAAAAGCAATTTATAAAGGCAGTGAAAATACAATTCTGAAATTTTCAAGTTGAAAAATGCCTTACAGACCACATAACTTGTACCCGCACATAAATCATGAAACTAGTTCAGATTAGGTAGCTTACATCAAAGTTTCTAACACTTCAATTAGGAGTTGAGTATTTTTCCATCAGACATTGTTCCAGAAAATATTTCAGTCATCTTTATAAATACATGATATTCAGGATCCATTAGTTGAGCTTTTATCAAAACATCTCATGTACCCCGTAAGTATATATACCTACTACATACCCACAAAAATTTTAAATAAAAAAATTTAAAAGATCCATTAGTTGAAAAAAACAAGTGCATTAAATAGCATCATCTCATTTAAGAAAACATTGTATACAAGAACAAACTCTAGACTACCAGTGCCCATATATGTAGTTAATGAATACTAAAACAAATTGGTTTTGGTGTTACTTCTTTTTGAAGTCTCACTCTGTTGCCCAGGCTGGAGTGCAGTGGCAGGTTCATAGGTCACTGCAGCCTCAACCTCCCAGGTTCAAGTGATCCTCCCATCTCAGCCTCCTGAGTAGCTGGGACCACAGGCATATGCCCAGCCAATTTTGTTTTTAATTTTTGTAGAGACAGGGTCTTGCTATGTTGCCCAGGCTGGTCTGGAACTCCTGGGCTCAAAGAAATCCTCCGCCATGGCCTCCCAAATGCTGGGATTACAGGATGAACCATCACGCCTAGCCAAATCTCTTTTTAAGTGAAACAGTGTAGGAGGCCCCAAAATTAACCTAATTAATTAAGACAGGAGAAGAGGTAAGTCAAGGAATACACAAAAAACAAGGAATGACAAGAAAGCAAATGGATCCAAGACTTGAGAGAGGAAATATACAGTCTCAGCAGCCATTGGTGGACACTGAGTGCAGCTGCTCAGAACCGAATGCTACTTTTAAGATTAAGGAAGGTTGAGAACTAGGAAAAGATTTAAATTGGACTGTGGCATTAGCATTAACTATTTTAAGCACTTGGCCAGGCGCAGTGGCTCACGCCTGTTATCCCAGCACGTTGGGAGGCTGAGGCCAGCGGACACTTGAGGCCAGGTGTTTGAGACCAGCCTGGCCAACACAGTGAAACCCCATCTCTACTAAAAATACAAAAAATTAGCTGAGCGTGGTGGCGCGAGCATGTAGTCCTAGCTGCTTGTGAGGTGGAGTTTGCAGGGAGCTGAGATTGTGCCACTGCACTCCAGCCTGGGCAACAGAGTAAGACTGTCTCAAAAAAAAAAAGCACCTGCTTTGAGGTAACTGATTACAGCTGAAATACAGGGAATGTTACTAAAGGACAAATAACTTCCCTCCCATTAGCTTGTTTCAGATTCTGGCACATTGGTAAATACAAACTAGAATCTTGCAGGCTAAGTGGGCTGGGCAAGCAGAGCAGGCAATACAAGAGTGGCTTATCATACAGCTTGCACATATTCATGTAAGAATTTCAGCCAGGCTTTCTCAAAACTAGGGCAGAATTTTTTTAACTTGTACTTACTCCCTTCTCCCAGGTTATGTTAAACAAAATATGCCTTGGGTCAAGATGATAGATACCTGTTTTTTCTGGAGATTCTTAGACATTCATTCACTCAATATCATATTGACAATTCACAAAATGGTGTCATATCTTCTTCCCTGCCATCATCTACCATCAGCATATGACCACAGAAAGATGAAAAATTTTAGATAACCTGACCAACCCATATGATTAAGCTGACATGTTTCCTTACTAAAATAAAATATACTTACTCCATTTCTTTACTGCTTTTATCCCCTCTAATGTGAAAGTAACCTCAAAGTGATCTTCTAAGACACAAAAGAGGACTTAAATCAGTGTTATTTGTCATTTGCTTTATTCAGACATTCGAGGGTACCTCTTTCACCACGGGACTAGAGATGGTCTACTCTGTACATATATTTCACAATAAAGAAAAATTCCTACATTCCCCAACTCCATGACCAAGGGAAAACTTTCAGGATTTCTTTACTTTATAGCAGAGACAGGGCGGCCTGGCCAGTTGGCAGTGCTACACCCACAGTATGCCAGCTTCCCACCCCTACCCTTTTTCTTCCCTTTTTTAAAGCTTCAAAGGTTAGATCAACAAGACTTAAAATTTCCTCATTTGAAGAGAAATATGATGACCCACATGTTAATTTATATTAAAAACTAAAAATAAATAATGGGGTTCTTAAACAAGGACATCTTTCTTTAACTAGGTTATGAGTGGACCAGGCTGTGGGTAAAATGAGAGATTATCTCTTCTCCCTGGAAATGTCTTCAAGGCTCAGACAATTCAGTAGTTTTTCAAAGGCCCCAACTCTCACATCTCAGGCAAAAAGTATGAGCAATGGGCAACAAACAAGATGCTAGTATGCACTTGGCTTCTGATCAACTAAAAGAGATTTGGTGGCCCAACCTAATGAATGACAGCTTGAAACGAGAGGTGTAGTTAAAGTAAGTTTTGACATCACAGATAGATCCCTTAACCCTAAGTTACTTTGGAGGGAAGCCAGGAGAGGCTGGATCAGTCCTCAAGCCTCAGCTAAGGATGGATCCTATTTCTTCCCAGTGCAAAATAGCAAATGCACCTAGAAGGAAGAGTTGGCAAGGAGCGTTCCCCTCTTACTTTGTAGCAAGAGATGGAAAAAGAAAGATTTCTAAATAAAATTGGGAAACACAAAAGGCAAAGTAAAATCAATTTAAACAAAAATCAGTTGGAACTCTTATTTAAAAAAAAAAAAAAGCAGAACATTCATGGATGGGCAAAGAAGGAAACAATGCAGAGGCCTTTGGACTTGAGGGGAAAGCCCATCAAGATTCTTTGAGATTCTCAGCAGAGAGTGAGTTCTGTCTCTGTTCACGTAGGCTTCTGCATCATGTGTATCCCAAAAGGAGTTCTACGTGAAGGTCATCTTCCCCATAGCTCTTAGCTGAGCTGAGCTGAGCAATGACACACACACACCCCACCAATCCACCAAACTGCAGCAGTAGCTTCTTATCTGACCCACACTATGGCTCTTCTCTTTTGGGGACAGTCTTTGGTCTTTACCGCCAGGCCCGATTCAGGAGCTTCACCTGTGCCAGTCTCTTAGTGATCATGGTGGCAAAAACCAGGCCAAAGAGGACGCTGCTGATTAACACGTAGTCATAGTCATCCTTCAGAACGTCAAACTGCTTGGATGGGTAGACTCGAGTTTGGTAAATGTCCAAACCATAGGCCACAACCTGGAAGGCAGATGGAATAATTACGGAAGAAACAACCAATGGTCCACCTCAAACTCAGCTAAGATGGGAAATGGGACACCCAAGGGTGGAACAGGGCAGCTGTGGGCTCTGCTCACCAAACATGTGGACTCCAGGCCCGAGGGAGCGGTGTAGATACCTCGCATTCGAGAAACTGTCTGGTTATAGTTGATGAATCGCTCCGCGTGTATCTGTACATCTGGAGAATACGGGATTAGGTTCTCCTCTCTGCAAAACACCAGCCAGGACAGACAGTCTGAGCCCTGCTGTAAAGGGATCTCTTGGCTGCCCTTCCGGAGTCCTGGGAGGTTTCCAGGCTACATATCTAGCCTCGAATCTCCTAGGAGGTCTGCTTACATTAGGTAGTTAAAAATTTAGCAGCTGAATGTTAGGAAGGACTACAAGAAAGGAGGCTCTCTGGAGAATAAGACTGAGATCCAGATTCCTACCTTGTTCTAAATCTGAAAAGAAAGAACATACAGATGACTGGCATTTCACACCACAAGAAGAAAGCCAACCATTTTACCACCAACAAACTGAACCACTAGGCTAATTCCTGCTCTCCACTCCAGGCTGCCTCTCGGTCCCCATTTCTCTGCAACCTGGTTATCATCCTGTGTCTTTCCCCAGCTTTAACCTCCTCTCTCTCATGTACTTCTCCAAATCACACTCCACTCCATTCCTCATGCCCTAGGTAAAGAAATTCAGGATGGAGGTAAGAAAACCCAAAGAGATAGTGGTTGTTAATACAAAAATTAACACCAACAGTGAACAAGTTACTGGCTTGCCCACATGATCCAGCCCCGAATTACCTCAGTGATCTATTTCCTAGCATTGCCCTCCGCGGACTCACCAGACATAATCTCAGGGGATTTGCATTGCCGGTTCCCTCTGCCTAGAAAGTTCTTCCTCAGACATCCACACAGCTAGCTCCTTCAGGCTTTCACTCAAAACACACCTTTTCAAAGGGGCTTTCCCAGGCCACCTCTCAAATTTCACCATGCACATCCCCGTGCCCACTTCCTAGCTCATTCCTGTTTTACTCTCCTTAGCATTTGAGTACCTAACATAGTATCTATTTTACTTGTTTATCTTATTTATTTATTGTCCATTTCCCAGCAGACTGTATGTTCCATGAGAGCAGATGACTTTTTCAGGCTTGTCCCCTGCTACCTCCCCAGCCTAGCGCAGCATGGGGCCACATGGAGACTGAGAAGAAAGCTTAATCAGTGAGGTTAAATTTTGTAAGGTACAGCCTTCAGCACCACCCATGAAAGTCTCACCTGCTTTGTTCTGTTGGGATCTCGGGGCGGCGAGGATCCAGCAAAGCCTTAGGAAGGGAAAGAATTGCTCCAGAAGGCAGTCCAACTGCACAGGAAGAAGTAAATGTTCATACGGGTCCAGTGTCCAGCGATGGCCAGTTACAAAAGTGTCATTTTTGCAGAAATGTAAACGAGTTTAAAACAAAAAAAAATGGGTCAATGGGGCTCCCTTAAATAGCCAAAAACAATAATCCAATAATATGCATGGGTCTGAATGAAGGTTCTCACTTTTGAAGACACTGGTTTCTTAACATTCTGAGACCAGAAAATAAAGTTCTAGAGTCAAGATATGGGTAATGATGAAAGAGAAAAATGTAAAAGGATTCCCTCATCCCTCTCTCCCCTCCCTCCAATACCTCCCCAGCAGGGAGTCTCCTTCCTGTTGAGCAAACGCATACAGCTGCAGTACAATGGCCAGGGAAGACTGCAGGACCAGGCATGATCCATCATTGCACCAGTTTCAGTAATGGAAATTAAAGCTGATAAACTGCCAACAGGGCTGGCTTCCTCACATTTAAGAATACAATAGTAATACCAAGTGCCCATCAGATCTGAGAGTCCCAAACATCTCTGGTAAAATCACCTAAACACATAAGCCTGTTAAACAATCACTACGTCCTAAGTCCTGGACTTAGGTTACATAAGGATGAGATTCTAGGGCTGGCGCAGTGGCTCACACCCATAATCCCAGCACTTTGGGAGGCAACTTCGAGACCAGCCTGGCCAATGTAACAAAAGCCCATCTCTACTAAAAATACAAAAATTAGCTGGGCACAGTGATGTGTACCTATAATCCCAGCTACTCAGGAGGCTGAGGCAAGAGGATTGCTTGAACCCAGGAGGCAGAGCTTGCAGTGAGCAAAGATCATACCACTGCACCCGGGTGACAGAGTGAGACTCCATCTCAAAAAAAAAAAAAAAAAGGATGAGATTCTAAACCCTGCCAATTTCTGCAACCTGTCAGCACAGGCTAGCTATGTTTAGAATGCTATCAGGAACCGACTTTTTTAGCTAGGTGGAAATGCCAAATAAAGAGGTGGTATATCAGAAATGAGGACTGAAGACCAGGCACAATGGCTCACACCTGTAATCCCAACACTTCGGGAGGCCAAGGCAGGAGGATCAACTAAGCCCAGGAGTTCTAGACCAGCCTGGGCAACATGGCAAAACCCCGTCTCTGCAAAAAAATTTTTCATTAGCCAGGTGAGCTCAGGAGGTTAAGGCTGCAGTGACCCATGATCACACCACTGTACTTCAGCCTGGGTGAGAGAGTGAGACCCTGTCTCAAAAAAAAAAAAAGATGAGGGCTGAGAGAGAAGTGGTCACCTTACAGGTGGCAAAGGTGAACTAAGGAACTTTTTCTACTGATAAATAGCCCTCCTCACCACCTTTCCCTTACGGGTGGTTCAACGGGGCTCTGCCAGCAATGTGTCCCTTGCTTTGTCCCTCAGTGTGGTTGCCCAAGGGAACCCAGCCATCCAGAGGTTCTCCAGGCACTCACTCAGCAGATGTCGGCTGGTGATGCCCCGCTCGGTGATGGTGGCCTCCATGGCACTGATGGAGGATGGGAAGATATAGGACTGCTGGAGGACCTGGGGCAGCTGGGGGCGGTCCAGGGAGCTGAAGGCGGTGGCGTTGTATTGCTCGGTGCCCTCATAGAGCTCCAGTGCAGTAAACTCGTTGCGCCGAGCCTTGGTGTTCCAGTACTGGTACTGCAGGAATAGGAGGAGGCAGCTCAAGGCTTAGCAGCTGCTTCAGCTGGAAAGGGAAATTGCATTGGAAGGTACCTTTCCAATTAGCTACAGATCCAGGAAGGAAAACTATCAACTAGCACCGTAGTTATCATTCCTTACTACCAAGTTTACTAACTTTCAAAGTATTTTCATCTAGGCTATATAAAGTTCACCATAAAACAAAAGAAATTCTCAAGATTCTTAGAAGTCATAATAGTTACTAACCTTTGAGTCCTTACCAGGTACCAGGCATTGTTCTCAGCTAGACTAAAGGTGACTGTTATTAGCCCTGTTTTACCAATGATGCAACACAGAGAGCATACATAACTAGTTTGAGGTTGTACAGTCAGGAAACGGAGGTAGGATCAAACCTAGGCAGTCTGATTCCTGAGCCTAGCGCCCTAACCAGCACACTTCGCTGCCATCCAGGGAATCTGAGACCCTATGAAAACCAAAGCAGCAACTGGGTTTCTGGAAAGGACTTAGGAATCAAGGAGACCTCTGGAGCTACCCTGTGTCCCTAGTAGTAACTGCTTACCACCACCCAGTTCTCAGAATGCACAATATGAACAGGGCCCTTGGCTTTCTTCTGCACAGAGGAGTGGATGATGCGCCCAGTGACGCCATCAATGAGGAAGATGCCAATAAAGGTGCGCTCATGGTGCATGTCTGTGCTCTCCGTCACCACAGCCAGCAGGTTGGGGTTCAGGCTCTGTAGAGAGAGAAAAAAGCTCCTTTGGAACCATAACGACCATCACATACTCCATTCCTGTGCTGTGAGGCCAGCCTGGAGCTCTCCAGCCTGGCAGAGGAATCAGGGTTTCTGGTGAGAAGAGCTTCCTGTTTGGAGTTTCTCATCACTGCACTTGTTTTATGTGCATTGGGGACTGGGTACCATGCCAGGTACCTTGTATTTTATCTAATCCCTTAAACAACCTTACAGAGTAGCTATTATGGTCCACATTTTGCAGAAAAGTCCCAAAGTAGTTAAGCAGCTTCTCAAGTCACAGATAGCAAATGTTAACCCAAGATACAGTCTAGGTCTGCCCACTCATTGACCTAGCGACAACTGCTGCAGTGATATTTTTCTTCTCAGGGTCACCACCACCCTCCCCATCGCTAAATCCAGTGGCTGAGTCTTGGCCCTCATTTTACTTGATCCACTACTACCACATGACGCAGGTGATCACTACCTTCTTGTGACATCTTGTCACCTGGCTTCCAGAACATCCCTGCCCAGCGTTCCTACCTCACTGGCCTCTCCTTCTCAGTCCCTTTTGGAGGTTCTTCCACATCTCCCCAGTTTCTTCATGGTGGAACATTCCAGGCAGCTCTCCAACCTTGGGCATTTCCATCGACACTCACCCTCATGGTGATCTCAAGCCAATCTCATGGCTTAAACACAATTTATGGATGTTGGCAATACCCAATGTATGTATCGAAACCAAACTGTCCTTTGAACTCCAGACTTAACTAAGAAACTATCTCAGTATCTTTTCTCAGATGTCTCATCTGAAACTTAACACAGCCCAAACTGAACTGTTCTACCCCTCCCTAAAATCTGCTCCTCTTTCCTCCCAGCCATGGTGGCTCCCTGCTTCAGTGGCTCACACCTAAAGCCTTAAGTCATCCTTGACTCCTTTCTTTGTAACACACATTATGCCCCCTTTTGGCTCTACCTTCAAAAGTCCCCAGAACCTGATCCTTCCTCCCCACCTCCATGCCCCCAGCCCAGTTCCAGCCGCCATCAGCCCCTGGATGACCCCACAGCCTACCTGGTTTCCTGCTTTCCCCCTCACCCCTCTACAGTCTAATCTAGGTCAAATGAGCCTGTGGAATCTCAGTCACTGATGTCACTCCTGCTCAGAAACTTCCCAGTGGCTCTTTACCATGCTCCAAAGTGAAGGCCGAGGTGGTGGCCTATGATCTGGCCCTGTTGCCCTCTGCCCTCTGCAGGCCTGACATGCCTCCTCGCTCATCATCTTCTAGTCACTTGGTCTTCCTTGCTGTTTGTCACACACACCAGGAGCACTCTGGCTTTTCTCTCTGAAAGGCTCTCCCCCCAGCTATCCATACAACTCACTTCCTCACTCAAGTCCAATGTATGTATCCAACCCAGACTCTCCTTTGAACTCCAGACTCCGTGCCACCTTCTCACTAAGCCTCTCCTTAGCCACCCGATTTATAGTGTATCCCCTTTCCCTCTTCCCGGCTTTATTTTTCTCTATAAAACTGGTCACTTTCTAATACACCATATAATTTACCTATCTATTTTCTGTATTATTAGCCTCACCCAACTATGATGAAAGCCTTACCAGTCAAGAAGTTTTGTCTATTTTGCCCATTTTATATCCCAGTGTCTAAAAGAGTACCTGCACCCAGCTAGCACTCAAAAAGTACTTCCTGCTTTACCTCTGTGGCATTCCTTCCAAAAACCCATAACCATAGTCTAACCATGAAAAAACTATCAGAAAAACTGAGAAACATTCTACAGAATATCTGACTAGGACTCTTAAACTATCAAGGTCACAAAAAACAAGGAAAAGACTGAAAAACTGTCACAGACCAGAGCAGTCTAAAGAAACCTGATGACCAAATGCGATGTAGGGTCCTGGAACAGAAAAATGACACTGGTGGAAAAAAATGACGAAACCCAAATAAAGTCTGGGGTGTAGTTAACAGTCACGTCACGGTTACGTAGGAAAAACTACGTAAGGGATATATGGGAACTGTGTACTATCTGTGCAGCTTTTCTGCAAGTCTAAAATTATACCACAATGAAGTTTACCCAAAAAAAAAAAACCTTTAGAATTTGCATAATGAACATGAGTCCAAAAAGGCCTACTCCTAGCTAGCATTCTTTTCTGCACATGAAAACACAGGTGCTCTAGTACAGCGGTCCCCAACCTTTCTGATGCCAGAGACCGGTTTCATGGAAGATAATTTTCCCACAGCCTGGGGCAGGGGATGGTTTCGGGAATGGTTCAAGCCCATTACATTCATTGTGCACTTCATTTCTATTAGTATTACATTGTAACATAAATAAAATAATGATCCAACTCACCATCAGGTAGAATCAGTGGGAGCCCTGAGCTTATTTCCCTACAACTAGACGTCCCATCTTGGAGTGACGGAAGACAGTGACAGACCATTGGGTATTAGATTCTCATAAGGAGCGTGCAACCTAGGTCCCTCACATGCCCAGTTCACAATAGGGTTCACGCTCCTCTGAGAATCTAATGCCACCACTGAGCTGACAGGAAGCAAAGCCCGGGCAATCATGCAAGTGATGGGGTGTGGCTGTATATACAGATGAAGCTTCACTCACTTGCCCACTGCTCACCTCTGGCTGTGCAGCCTGGTTCCTAACAGGCCATGGACCAATAAAGTTAGTAACTTTAACCTACTTCAGTAAAGGCAAAGTTAAATAATGGTATATTTTATCTATGTCAAAATATACTTTAGCATTTGTATTGTTTTAGTCCTTCTGAAGGATTTTTTTTTTTTTTTTTTTTTTTGAGACAGAGTGTCGCTCGGTCACCCAGGCTGGAGTGCAGTGGCACAATCTCAGCTCACTGCAACTCTGCTTCCCACGTTCAAGGGATTCTCCTGCCTCAGCCTCCCTGGTAGCTGAGACTACAAGGTGTGCACCACCATGCCCTGCTAATTTTTCTGTGTTGAGATGGGGTTTCACAATGTTGGCCAGGCTTGTCTAGAACTCCTGACCTCAACTGATCCTCCTGCCTCAGCCTCCCAAAGTGCCAGGATTACAGGCATGAGTCACTGCACCCAACCTCTGAACAAATTTAAACTGCTGCCACATGGAAGATGTCTGTCAACTAAGAATTCGATTTGCATCCATTAAAGTACAAAGTAAAAAATAAATTAAAAGAATTTGGCTGGCCACAGTGGCTCTCACACCTGTAATCCCAACATTTTGGGAGGCCAAAGTAGGAGGATTACTTGAGCCCAGGAGTTCAAGACCAATCTGGACAACATAGCAAGACCCCATCTCTAAAGAAAATAAAACAATTAGCCAGGCATGGTGACACACACCTGTTGTCTCAGCTGTTTAGAAGGCTGAGATGGGAGGACTGCTTGAGCCCAGGAGGTCAAGGCTGCAGTGAGCTATGATCACACCACTGCACTCCAGCCTGGGCTGTAACAGAGCAGGACCCTGTCTCAAAAAAAAAAAAAAGCATTTAAGTCAATACCACCAATAATAATGTTAACTATGTGGCAGGCACTATTCTAATCACTTTACGTGTTATCATTAATCTTCAAAATAATCCTCTGACGTTGGTGCTATCATCCCCATATACTGGGGAAAATTGAAGCTTAGGCAGCCTAAGAGATGAACAGCTAGTGCAATGCAGAGCCAAGTCTTAATTCGACAGTCCAACTAGAGGTTTGCACTGGGTTGCACTGGCTCATGCTTAGTGATCCAGCTTTACCATCAAGGTCTGTGATCTTGCTACTCTATTCTACGACACACCCTCCAACTCAGTCTCTGCTGTCCCAGAGGGTGGAATTAATGTGCATTCCTACTGTGATTACATTCTCTCCCACGACAGTTTTGCAGCCCACTAGTTACCTCCATCTCCCTCTCTTTAACACTCACTAGAGTGTTGGATCATAGAGATGGAGTTTCTGATGGCTCACCTATGGTTTAACCCCAGAATGCCATATCAGTACTACCACCACTAAAAAGAGCTGGGCTAGGCCCAGTGGCTCGAGTCTGTAATCCCAACACTTTGGGAGGCTGAGGAAAGACAACTGCTTGAGGCCAGGAGATAGAGACCAGCTGAGGCCCTGTTGATACAAAAATTAAAAATTAAAAAAATATATATTTTTGGAGACAGGGTTTTACTATGTTGCCTAGGCTGATCTCTATCTTCTACAAAAATTAAAAATTTTTTAAATTGTTGTTGCTGTTGTTTGGAGACAGGGTCCCACTCTGTCACCCAGGCTGGAGTATAGTGGCACAATCGCAGCTCACCGTAGTAGCCTTGACCTCCCCAGGCTCGGATGATCCTCCTACCTCAGCCTCCTGAGTAGCTGAGACCACAGGCATGCATTACTATGCCCAGCTAATCGTATTGTTTTTACTTTTCGGAAAGACAAGGTTTCAGCCAGGTTGCCCAGTGGCTGTTCTGAAATTCTTGGACTCAAGTGATCCACCCGCATCAGCCTCTCAAAATGCTGGGATTACAGGCATAAGCCACCATGCCCAGCCTTTTTTAAAAATTAGCACAGCATGTGTCTGTGGTCCCAACTACTTGGGAGACTGAGGTGGAAGGATTGCTTAGGCCCAGGAGGACGAAGCTTTGGTGAGCCATGACTGCATCACTGCACTCCAGCCTGGGCAACGGAGCAAGACTCTGTCTCAGGAAACAAACAAAAAAGGCCAAAAAAACAAGAGCTAACATCTGTTCCTTACTTATCATATGCTAGGCACTGGGCTAGGCATGAACAGCTCATGGGATCATCACAACCAGCCTAAGAGGAGGGTATATTATCCCCATTTCACAAACAAAAATTAATGGTCAAAGGGATTAAATGACTTACGCAAGATCACATATCTACCAAGTCCTACAGCCAGACTTGAAACCCTTATTTTCCCGGGTCGAAAGCCCTTGCTGTAGGCCAGACAGCTGGCTGTATGTACCTTGTAGAGCACACTGCGGTCCCCCATCACACGGCCCTGGGAATGAACGTGCTCACTGCTGCGTTTCCCCTTCACCTTGACGATCCGCTGTACTTCTGGAGGAATGGTCAGCTCCCAGCTCAGCTCAGTGGTGAGATCCTAGGGCAGGAGCAAAAGAGCCTGTAATCAGGAGGGTACACTTAGAGCTGAAACAGCTGGAGTTAGACCCATCCTGCAGTCCATTATTTGAGGTCTTTGTGCAGGAAGGAACAGAGATCAGAACTAGAAAAATGGGCCAGGAACAGCGGCTCACACCTGTAATCCCAGCACTTTGGGAGGCCAAGCAAGGTGGATCACTTGAGGTCAACAGTTCAATACCAGCTCGGCCAACATGGCGAAACCCCATCTCTACTAAACATACAAAAAATTAGCCAGATGTGGTGGCAGGCACCTATAATCCTAGCTGCTCGGGAGTCTAAGGCAGAGGCTGCAGTGAGCTGAGATCACACCACTGCATTCCAGCCTGGGTGACAGAGCAAAACCCCGTCTCAAAAAATAAAAAAGCAAACTAGAAAAATGGCAATAGAGATCTAGTTTATGAAGAAATTTCAGAACTCTCGGTTTGATTAAGATAGATACAAAAGCCAGCAGGAAAGGAGAAGAATGTTCAATAGTATCCCGTTGTTCATCTGAGTAGGAAATATGCAAGGAAAATTTACTATTTATTACTAAAATCCAAGATCTCTGAATACTGGGGCAAGTAGTAAATGTCTAAGCTAACAGGGACCTTGAAACATTTCCTGTATGATTCTTTTTTTTTTTTTTTTTCTTGAGACAGAGTCTCACTCTTACTAGGTTGGAGTGCAGTGACCTGATCTCGGCTCACTGCAATCTCCGCCTCCTGGGTTCAAGCGATTCTCTTCCCTCAGCCTCCTGAGTAGCTGGAATTACAGGCGTGCACCACCACACCCAGCTAATTTTTGTAATTTTAGTAGAGATGGGGTTTCAGCATGTTGGCCCTGATCTCCTGACCTCGTGATCCACCCGCCTCAGCCTCCCAAAGTGCTGGGATTACAGGCATAAGCCAGCATGCCTGGCCTCCTGTATGATTCTTTACGGTCACAAGAAACCAACCAATAACATTCATGGTGAAATACGTTATACATCCATCATATGGAATTATGCGGAGCCCTTGGGGGTGGAGATTGGCAAGGGGCACAGGGACCTTCTCGGGGCTGGTGCTGTTCTGTTTCCTGATGTGACTACCAGGTACACAAGTGTATTCCCTTGGTGAGGGTTAACTGACCTATGACTCATAATTTTGTACCTTTGTCAATATTTTTCTGTAATAAAAACTGAAGTTTCAGAACAATAAGGTAGAAAACTCATTAAATGAAAAAAGCAAATTTCATTTGAGAATAAATATAGGTCAATTCCGTATGAGTAAGAAAAAAAAATGGGCCAGGCATGGTGGCTAACGCCTGTAATCCCAACACTTTCGAAGGCCGAGGCAGGAGGATCACTTGAGGTCAGGAGTTCGAGACCTGGATTTATGGAATCGTAAATACACAAGGACAGTGGGAAGAGCCACAGCAAACTGTGACAGGGTTTCCACCTGGGGGAGACCGCTGGAGATGGGCTATAAGCATCTGTCCACATTTTGCTTATACACCTCTCTGTATCAATGGACTCTTTTACAATGAGAATATACTCATGTATTGCCGGAATTTTTTAAATAACAAAAATTTGATTAATAACAAGTCTTCACTGCCACAACCTTCTTTGAAAACATGAGAACTCACTAAAACATCTCCAGAAAGGACGGTCACAAGTGAAGGCAAAGGCAGCAAATGCCCTTGTGGTTCAGGACTCGCCCACACAGCTGGCTCACTTCCCACAGACTGCTCTGCGTCCTTTGTCTTCCTTGGTCTTTGTTCACTCAGATAATGTCCTCAGGGCTCCAGATTCATGACACCCACACTCCAGTTCACTCCCTTGAATCTACAAAACTGTCTCTTTCAACATCCCCTTTTTATTAACTTGGAAGGACATTTTTTTTTCATCCACAAGGGTAAAGGATGTGCCTTCTGGGCCGACCATTTCCAGTGCCATTTATGCTAAGGTTAGCTATTATAAATGTCACAAAAGGGCACTGCATTTTCAAAACAAGAGCACTGCAAACTTAGATGGCATTTACCATGTGCCAGGTGCTGTTTTATGTGATTTATGTGTTGAATTCTCTCAACAACCTTATGAGACAGGTACTTATCACCTTATTTTACAGATAAGAAAACAGAAGGTCAGAGCCCAAGCTCACATAGTGAATGACAAACCTCGGCTTCAAATCCAGCAAACTGGATCTAAGCTCTTAAATTCTATGCCTCTCAAAAGGCCATACAGGACAGGGTGGGAGAGCTGTCTGTGAGTGCACACCACAAAGTACTTCTCCAAACAGTCCTGCTAACAAGACCACGCCAGCCCCTCGTGGACTTCAGAGCTGGACTTCACAGCCAGTGTGTATCACTGTTTATAAGAGTTACTCTTTCAAGAAATAAAATTCAAAGCACATATTGTATCAAGAGTTGCTCAACATCATCTTCATGTAAAAGTACAACTTATTACTCAACCCACATTCCTACCTGCTACCCTCCCAAGAATGGGAAAAACGTCCCATCTCTCTGCTATAGAAATAGAATGTGGAGCCAGGCACAGTGGCTCAAGCCTGTAATCCCAACACTTTGGGAGGCTGAGGTGGGCAAATCACAAGGTCAGGAGTTCGAGACCAACCTGGGCAACACGGTGAAACCCTGCCTCTACTAAAAATAAAAAAATAGCTGAGTGTAGTGGCGGGCGCCTGTAATCTCAACTACTAGGGAGGCTGAGGCAGGAGAATTGCTTAAACCCAGGAGGCAGAGGTTGCAGTGAGCCAAGATCGTGCCATTTTCCAGCCTGGGCAACAGAGGGAGACTCCATCTCAAAAAAAAGAAAAAGAATGTGGAATGAAAGCTCCACAAGGGCAGAGATTCAGTCTGCTGTTTACCACTCTGTCCACAGCACCTAGAACCAGACCTGCCATGTAGTAGCTGTTCAACAATAAACAAGTGATTGACTTTATATCAGACATCAGGATAATGCTAATCTAAGTTTACAATAGAATAAGTAGCATAATTCACTTCTTAGCCAAATGCCAGGAAATGCCCACATCTCACCACAAAGGGTACTGCCAGGACGCGCCTTCCCTACCTTTCGAAGCCGATATCCACACAGTCGTCCCTGCTCTGCATCCACCAAATAGAAGAAGATGGAAGGGGCAAGCTCATGCAGCTGTCGCAAGACATTCCGAGTGGCTGGAAAAGCTGTGACCTTGAAAAACCCAGATAGCCCAAGAAGAGTCAGGAATCTCTAAGCCCAGTGCCCCAAAACTCATTACTATTTCCCCATCAAAGAGAGCCTTAAAAATAGAACAGCAAATCTTAAAAGAATTAGAGTCTAGTGAACGCAGTTTAGGGTTTACATTCAGTTCTGCTAAGAACCGGAGTTTTCACATGCAGACACAGCAGTCATTTCTCTCAGACACGGCCTTAGAGCCAAAACATGTGCTGGGTGTAGACAGCACTCCATCTCTGGGCCGCTGTTTGGCCACCTGGCTGCAAACCTGGCTCCACTAGCATGTTCTCCATCCCCTCTGAAGACAGTACCTTATATTCATCATCTATCAACAGCAACACCTTGGCGTAGTCTTGATCCATGACTGGGAGAAGCAAGGACTGCAAGATGGGGCGCTTCAGCACTGGGGGAGCCACCTGACTCCATTTCCCAAAAATGGGATTGAAGACGTACAGAGAACTCATTCCCGATTCCTAAAATGAGCGAACTGTCAGCTCCACCAGCAAGAAAAGACTGTAAATCCTAGGGAAAGACCTGAAGAGCTGGGACTGCAGCTCAACAACTGTGAGGGGTTCCCTAGTCTTTGCCCTCTTTGCAGAAAATAAGTTCTTGGCTGAAGGTGAATAGTCCCCTAGGCTAATGTCACAAAGAAAAAAGTCAGACTGTCTGCCAGTTCTTTTTTGTTTGAAACAGGGCTTCCCTCTGTCACCCAAACCGGAAGTGCCGTGGCATGATCAAGGCTCAGTGCAACCTCTACCTCCCAGGTTCAAGCGATCCTCCCACCTCAGCCTCCCAAGTAGCTGGGACTACAGGCACAAGCCACCACACGTGGCTAATTCTGCTTTTATTTTTTGTAGAGATGGGGTTTTGCCATGTTGCCCAGGCAGGTCTCAAACTCCTAGACTCAAGCAATCCGCCCTCCTTGGCCTGCTGAAGTGCTGAGATTATAGGCGGGAGCCACCATGCCTAGCTGTTCTGCCAGTTCTAACCAGGAACTGATCAAAGAGTCAAGTAACAATTCAGCAACCTGGCCAGGCATGGTGGCTCACACCTGTAATCCCAGCACTTTGGGAGGCCAAGGCAGGAGGATCACCCGAGGTCAGGAGTTTGAGACCAGTCTGGCCAACATGGTGAGACCCCATCTCTACTAAACATACAAAAATTAGCTGGCATGGTGGCACATGCCTGTAATCCCAGCTCCTCTGGAGGCTGAGGCATGAGAATCATCTGAACCCAGGAGGTGGAAGCTGCGGCGAGCCGAGATCATGCCAGGCAGCCACTTCAGAAAACTGCCTACCAAGCCCACCTTCTATGCTAGAATGAAGGCACAAAAAGCCATTCTAATTCTGGGAAAACACAAAAATATCTTTGTGTCCTGCTCTTCCTCAAGAGAGAAGAGAAAATAGCCACTCAGCTACCAACAGCCCATGTTTAGAAAAGAGGAGAGCTGGCTCCCTTTGTAGCTGAAGTCATACCCACTTTCTAAACAATTCCACATCAGTGCTAGATGGTTCCTCCACCCAGGCATGAAACTAGAAGAAACAGAATTCTAACCCCTGAAAGTTCCTCATGAACTCACACAATTCCAAGGGCCTAGGAGCAATTTAAGTTACAACATAGCCAAAAAGCCACACTGACTCTGGCTCAAGTCAGAGGTGGATGCCTCACCTTGTCCTTCACCAGCAGGGTGCACTGTGGGGGGTGGGGGAAATGAGCAGTAGTTCTCTGGACCATCAGTTTAAAGGAGGAGTCTGGCTTGACATTGGGTAGATACTGTTTCCACAGGATGGTGCCAGAGCTGCTCTCAATGCCAAAGAGCTGCAAGATAAACAAATACTTGGCTCACTACGAGAAAGAGAAACCAAAGAACTCAGTCTGTCCTTGAAAACTAGAACCAGTGTTATCCCCAGCAAAGGCTTTTTGTTCCCCATCCTCAGAACTTGAAACGGTTCAGTAACTGGGGCTTAAACCCCACTCACCTTGCCTGAGGCTGTTACCATCACCATCATCTTCTGGAGGTTGAATTCGTCTCTGGCCAGGGTGTCAATGTTGATCTCATTCTTAATCTGACTTCGGGGCTTCCGAGCATCATAAAACATTTTCCAGAGGTGGGAAGTCCATGCCTGCAGCAGGATAAGCTGAGACGAGAGGCGTTTCAGGAACATCCCCAGCAAGCCATCTGGTGTAAAGGAAAAGTAACACACTCTACATCAGACTAGGGGTCCAGAAGGAGGTACATGCTTTTCCTATGAGGAATCTCTGCCTCTCCTCTGAAGTGATAAACTCCACACTCTAGGCCACAAGCCCAAGGGGCATCCTATATCTGATGCCCAGTCTCACACTCATGTAAGAGTCAGGCAAGAGCTTCCAGAAACTACTTACCTGGCTCTTACAACTAAACCCAGATGGAATCTTGGAATAGGAGACTAAGAGGTCAGGAATCAGGCATGCAAGAGGTAGCCATGCTATGAATGTCTCCACCACAGCCCCACATCTAAGATGCAGAGGAAGGTTTCTGGGTGCCGTGACAAAGCCAAAAAGGTACAGGTGTGGGGGTGGCAGGGTGCAGGTAAATAAATGTGTATCATGAGTAGGTACTTCCAGCTCTCACTGCTTCATTCCTACTTTGTCAACTGTTTAACCTGCACCAACAGACGTACTTGCAACAAGTTCCCAGGACCATCATTCACTCTATCCCTGATTCACTCTATCCCTGATGCCATCAATGAAGCCACTGCCCTCCAAATCTCCTCCATTAGAGACCATAGATTTGGAAACAGATACAAGGAAGCAAGGTAAAGAGCATGGTCTCTGGAATCTAGCAGGCTCAGATTAAGATCCCAGCTTCACCACTCACTACTGTGCAACCCTGAGAAATGTACTTCACCTTTTTGCTTCTGATTCCTCATCTGTAAACTGGCATGCAACCCACCGGACTGTTGCAAAATTATATTGTATGATGTACATAAAGGATTTAGCGTGGTCCCTGGTACATGGTAAGCACTCACTAAAAAAGGAGCAGAACCTCTGCTTATCTTATTTTCCACCCACCTCTGCTCAAGGAAGAAAAGTGAATGGCAACAGGACAAGTCACAAGCACGGCAGTCCACACACACACACACACACACACACACACACACAGGATGTACCTCATTGGTCCAAGTCAGGAAGAAAAACAACCAAAAGCTAGCCATGTGAGCAGGCAATGAGCAACACAGCAGCAAGAAGCAGGTTTTACCTTGAATTGCTGGATCCAGGCAGCAGAAATAAACAGTAAAGTCAAATTAATCTTCAGCTTAAGAAAATGTGCATTGCCTAGCAGAGTGCCTGGTCCAGAGCAGGACCTCAATAGCTATCCGTTGGAAAGCTGGATGAATGGACAGAAGGGAGAGGGTTTGGGGTAGGACTGAATCAGAGCAGAGTGAATGAAGTTCATCCGGGCAGCTGGGACCGTGGCCAGCTTTAGAGGGCACTGGGTTATTTCCACAATACCCAGATCAACCCAATCGTGTCTCCAGACAGATTGGTTGCTGCTTTGGAGACAGTGAGTATACGGTACCTGGCAAATTTTTAGTACCCAGGCAATGGCAGTTATTACCATACCAAGTTAAGACTTTTTTCCCTCAGCTTTCCCCTAGAGGGATTTTGCCCTAGCTTTCCCTAGAAGGATTCACAGTTCATTCTTTCACAGAAAAGAATGGTTTCATAAACCATATGGCCACAAATGCACCAGGACCTTATCACAAAGCTCATTCAGAAAAGTCTAGCAATCTGTCAAGCCCAGGAAGCCAGAGATGCATGACACAGTGTCTCTTGTGGTCATTTCCAGACTGCCCCTCCAGCAACTCTGCAGCTCCAACCTCTTAGGTTCATACCTGCCTTTTTGCCAAATTCTCCTTCCAGCTCGGCCTGTGCCCCAGTCAGGGGGAGGTCTACCATCTCTAGGCACACCACTTCTGCCAGGGACTCCTCACGGCTCCACAGCACCACCTTCCCTGCTACAGGAAACATTTTTACATAAGCTAAGCCTGGGGCCAGGCACAGTGGTTCACACCTGTAATCCCAGCACTTTTGGAGGCTGAAGTGGGCAAATCACTTGAGCCCAGGAATTTGAGATCAGCATGGACAACAGGGCAAAGCCCTATCTCAACGAAAAATAAAAATCGAAAAACTAGTCAGGCATGGTGGTGGCACCCACAGTCCCAACTACCAGGGAGGCTGAGGTGGGAAGATCACTTGAGCCAGGAAGATTGAGGCTGCAGTCAGCCGTGATCGTGCCATTGCACTCCAGCCTGGGCAACAGGGTGAGACCCAGTCTCAGAAAAAAAACAAAAGCTAAACTTACCTCCCAGATTTTCTAAAGAGACTCTTCTTGCTGACTCAGGGATCACTACAAGCTCTTGCATAAAAGGAGAAATGGCAGAGCAAGGGACTGGAATCAATAGGTCAAGGGAGAAATGTTCTGTATCCCACCGAGAATGCCAAGTTATTCTTCAAAAACAGGTGACAGGGGCTGGGCACAGTGGTTCACACCAGTAACCCCAGCACTTTGGGAGACCAAGGCAGGCAGATCACCCGAGGTTAAAAGTTCAAGACTAGCCTGGGCAACATAGTAAAATCCTGTCTCTATTAAAAATACAAAATTAGCCTAATATGGTGGCACACACGTATAATCCCAGCGACTCAGGAGGCTGAGGCGGAGAATCACCCTTAAGCAGGAGGCAGGATTTGCAAAGAGCTGAGATTACACCACTGCACTACAGCCTGGGCAATAAGAACAAAACTCTGTCTCAAAAAAGAAAAAAAACACCCGGGCATGGTGGTTCAGACCTGTGATCCCAGCACTTTGGGAGACCAAGGCAGGTGGATCACCTGAAATCAGGAGTTTGAGACCAGCCTGACAAACATAGTGAAATCCCATCTGTACTAAAAATACAAAATTAGCCGGGCATGGTGGTGCATGCCTGTAATCCCAGCTACTTGGGAGGCTGAGGAAGGAGAATCACTTAACCCTGGGAGGCAGAGGTTGCAGTGAGCCGAGATTACACCACTATACTCCAGCCTGAGCAACAAGAGTGAAACTTCATCTCAAAAAAA